TGACGCACTCAAATAACCCGTAATCAAAACATCAATCCAGCTAACAAATCTAAGCACAATAACATTACAACCCCATCTCCGAAACAACAAAGAAAGGTAAAAAACACTGACACACACTTTCCAACCCAAAATAATAGAACGAATAAGAATAGCACCGCAACACATAGAATTCAATTTCAGGACACCGTTAAAAAAAGAAACCACAAACAACAAAAATAAAATAAAATAAAATAAAAACCACCAACTACACGGTGCAAACTATATACCAACAAAAATATGAAACTTAATATGGAAATGCCTACCTCCACCACTGTGCAAACAAGGACCCCCCTCCGCCAAACACCTCTAAGCTCACGGCCCCCGCCACCCCCACCACCGAACTCACCGACCACAACCCCACCCCCGACCCCCTAACAAAAACCCAACCATGCCGAAGACAAACCAACCCAAAAACACACCTGTAATTTCCACACAAAAAAAAGGAAATTTGAAACCAGACACATCTCGATCACAACGAAATCACCAAACCGGAACCTCACAGCCCCACAGACACTGAAACACTATACGAAAATTTTTTTAAAAAAAAAAAGGAACAAAACCTACAGAAGCCACTAAACCGCTGATAATCCCAACCCTACCGCCCCACCACCGCCGAACACACCATCCACATACCCATCCCCACGAAAACACAACCACCGGCAGAGAAAACACACCCTAACCACACATGCAGGACCCGAAACCTAGAATTCTTAAAACCACGAAAACAAAAATCCAAGAGCAACAATCGGACGACGGGATACCTGGCGTAGAACTGGAAGAGCTGTCTCTCAGCCGTTCAGACGCCCTAGAGCTCGAACCTGCCATGAGAAACATAAAGAGAGACCGCCGAAACCCCCCAGTACCGGACGGACAAACCAAAGGTTCTGACCAGACGGCGAGACCGGATGTGCAGAAGAAGCTATCCTTCGGCGAACAAAACGCCAAAATGGAAAAGAAACGACGTGAATAGAGAACGTGCGGAAGATTCCCAATAATACTAAACATATACCCACAAATCCGCAATCCAAAATACTTAACCAAATTAAAACGTCGCAAAAAAGATAAAAAAAACCGCCTTTCCCTATAAAACGCACGCGGATTATAAATACAATATCCAAATCTGATACATTAATAAAATAGAAATAAACGGTGGAGATTAGTGCTCACGAGCTCACCTAAATGGGGGGTTCCAGTGGATTCAAAATCTATATATATATATATATATATATATATATATATATATATATATATATATATATATATATATATATATATATAGTCTATCTATATCACACAGCCACACACAAACTATATACTATACATACCAAGCATGGGAATTGGAAAATGACTTTCTAAAAAAAAAAAAAAAAAAGAGAAGTCATTTTTCACTGCAGGAAATTATGGAATTTCCGACCACTTGAAAGTGATCTTAAATCAAGTCGAAAGTCCAAAAAAAAAAAAGGAGAAGTCATTTTCCATTGCAGGAAATTATGGAATTTCCGACCACCTGAAAGTGATCTTAAATCAAGTCGAAAGTCTTGTTCCGACCACTTTTGTTATCCGGAAAAATCTTTATTGCTATTTTCGACCACTTTTTGCTTTCAATTTGATTTAAGATTACTTTCAGGTGGTCGGAAATTTCATAATTTCCAGTAGTGTTCTCGCAAAACATACTTATTTTCCGTTGACCTCATTTTTCTCCTTCTTACCAAATACAGGAAACCCGGGAAACATTTTTCAGAAGTCATTTTTCAGATTTTCAAACGCACACTTAATCACTCCTGCAACTACTGTTCTGTGCTTGAATGTGTGAAAATGATGTGCTTAGAGTTTTAAAAAAGAATTAGTGGATCTGAAAGGAAATCGGGGGTTTGTGACATGCTAGGATATGATCGATGTAGCAAAACACTACTAGCGTGGAAAGAAGTATAGTCCCAGTGCACACTAACACTGACTTTAATATATAATGGAATTAGAGGATGATGATTCATACTTACGATACGTACATTGAAGTCACTTAGAGTGAAAGTAAGGTTAGAATGTAATCAAGGTTATACACTAGAATGAAAAAGTTATCCATTTTTTCTGATTTAAAAACTGGAAACTACTATCTAAATGGAGTTTTTATTCACCTTACACTTCATTCCAGTCCATTATTGTTTGGAAGATGGTATGTGAAATCGATTGACAATTGTGATGAAGTTGTCTTTACACTTCAATTTTATAAGAATTTATTCCCAAAAATTAGGCAGTTCAAAACCCTTCCCTCATAGCATGCTTCACTTAAAACCACAAAATGAATGAGATCTCTATTGATACTCTCTAATTTAATTTGCTGAAAATTAAGGAAGGTTATCTCAATCAATTATTTTTAAATTTGATAGATTTTTTTGTGTGTGTTTAATAGTGTATATTTTTAATGTAGTGTCTAAATACATAAATTTTAGGAAAAAAAAAAGATACAAATAGACCCGCGAACTATTTGTGAAATAACAATTATGCCACTGAACTCGAAAAAAGCTCCAAATTAATCTACGAATTCAAAAAAAAAAATTACAATTAACATTTTTAGGAGGTTACCACCAAATTTCTGTCGATTGGAATACATGTGTAATTATATATATATTTTATTATTATCCTTGGAATACACGTAAGCATTTGACCCAATTAAAAATCAAATTTTAAATCGCTAATCCCTAATGAATCTGGCCAGGGGTGTTGTTACCAATGACAGAGGATTTCGGTAATTGAGGAAAGCAAGAAGGCGAGTGTGAACTGTGAAGGTGAATTTGTAGTGTAGGGGGGAAATCGCCACGGTCTAGAGGCGCCTAGCGCCTAGGCGGGCCCCTAGACCGATTTTTACAACCCTGGTGTGAAGGTGAATTTGTAGTATAATTGTAAGTGTAAAATGATACACATTAAAACCCTTATTATAAATTGACTAATTTAATTGTCAAAAGGTTAAAAATTATTTTATGTTATATATTTGGGCCGTCTCTTATCAGTGGTGATCAACACGTTTCGGAAGTCTGATTAGCATGATTTAATTATTCCACTACGGGAAATTATGGAATTTCCGACCACCTGAAAGTGATCTTAAATCAAGTTGAAATTAAAAAGTGGTCGGAAATAGCAACAAAGGTTTTTTCGGATACCAAAAGTGGTCGGAACAAGACTTTCGACTTGATTTAAGATCACTTTCAGGTGATCGAAAATTGTATAATTTCCAGTAGTGTTCAAGGCTTATGATTTATCAATGTGTGGTTGTGATCTATCTATCTTGCACTAATATGACTATTCTACAATTTTATATTGGTGAAATATAATTTATTCAAGGAGCTTCATGAAGAAGTGTTTGGCGTGACATTTCGAAGGTTAATCAATGGCATGCACGCACCCCTCCAACAACGGATTTTTGAAGATTAAGTGGTTGTAATGGCTGTGGCCTTTTTGTATCAAACCTCTTGTAATCTTGATGAACATTTAGTGGATTGGTTGACGTGAGTTGACCCGCAGATGTAGGAGTTTAACTCCGAATTACGTGAATAATTTTTGTGTTCTGGGTTTTATTTTTCTTACCTTTAATTTATGTTTATTTATTCGTCAATTAACATAATTAATGGTACGTTAATTTTTTAATTATAATTAAGTAGAATTCTAGGCATTAACTTGCATTATATTCAAGATCCACGTACTTTTTCAGTAATTGCTACATATAATCATAACAGTAAAGTGACAAAGTTCCTTACATAATTTATAGAGTTAATTATCAAAATGGTCCCGTGACTATAGCGAAATTATCAATTTGGTCCTTGATTATTTTTTTTTAACCAATTGAGTCTCTCAACTTTATAAATAACCGAGAAGAAAATAAAACACACATAGATATAATAGATAGAAGGAGATAGCCTAAATTGACGTAATTGCCCATCTCTCATACGGTTATCTAACAAAAATATAGACGGAGGACCAAAAATGTCCTCGCCACAATAACTCTGTCCATAAAATGGCAAATTTTTTTTTATAAAGGACAAAAATTGTCCAAGCCACTATAAGTCCATGACCAAAAATGTCTTTTACTCCTAAATTATATTAACATTAGGTTTGGCAAGGGAGTGGTGAGTAGAGCCTCCATCCCTGCCCCAATTTCGTCAAATCGGAGATGTAAATAAAAAACAAATATCTAAATACATAATGCACCGGGGCATACCCCTGAATACACAAAACATAAAAATAACCAAACAAACGAAAATACATGTCCAACATCGGCTAAACCCCAATTAAACTAGAGCAAAATTAATTAAAATAAAGCTTAAGCCTAATTAACCAAGTCGTGACTTCCATTCACGCCGCGCCATGCACGTCTAACTCCATAAAAACATAAAGGCCTGTTTGGTAAAATGGCTGTTAGCTGATAGCTGTTAGTTGTTAGCTGATTGTATTAATTAGAGGGCATAAATAGTTGATAACATTAGCTGATTGTGTTAATTAGAGGGTATAAATAATTGATAACATTAGTTGATTGTAGAAAAGTGTTTGGTAAATTAGCTGTTAGCTGATAGCTGTTTGGTATAATTTCTTTTCTCAAAAAGCTAATTGAAAAAGTTGCTTGGAGTAGCATTTTGAATTTTAACCTTTTGGAGTTACAAAAAGCTAATTAACCAAACATTTATATTGATATTTTAACTAAATTAAACAATTAATAGTGATCAAATAAGCCAAAATTTGCCTATAGGCCAATTTTTTACTAAACAGGGCCAAAATCAATTGTCAATGCTACAAGAAGATTGAATCCTGGCCGGAAGTCCCACCGTGCGCCCGCTTTACCACTGCAATACATTCAGCTTCTTTTTTTTTTTTTTTTTTTTTTTTTTTTTTTTGAAACAAAACCAAATAACATTAAATTAACATAGATGTTCAATACAAATAGGAAAAGTAGAAAACCAACAAGAGGGACCAGTCTAAGAACGAGTAGCTCTTGCCAAAGCATGAGCAAACCGATTCACTGATCTAGAAACATATTGAATAGACACTAACTCAAAGTGTCGTTTTAAGGCTCGACACTCACGAATAACACAGCCTGCGTATGATAGATCTTGAGATGAGCCATTTAGTAACCTGCAAACATTTTTACAATCAGAGAAAATGAGGATCTTTGCAAAACCCAACTCCTTTACCCAAGATAAAGCTTTCTTCACTGCGAGGGCTTCGGCCAAGTGCGCATTATTTAGACAACGGATAAGACCATTTTTTGCAGCTACAAACTCTCGACTGCTATCCATCACAAAAACCCCATAATAAGCCTCAGCGTCAGCATTATAAACCGTGGCATCCACATAAATGCTCATAATACCTGGGTCTACAACTGGGAGTGAATTCAAGCTTGAAACATGCACATTGTTATTTGCTTCCAAATCTGCATCTCCCTGCCAATCCAAAACCATATTAGCCACTTCAAACATAATTGAAGCAGGATCCCAAGTTTTACTATTCCATACCAGATCATTACGTCCCTTCCAGATGCTCCAACAAATGGCGATACATTTCATTACGAGGCCATTCTCACCAAGTGTCAGCCACATTGAGAACCAAGCAGCAAAATCATCATGCTCGTTCGGCACTTGGCAATTCACATCATTCCAGAGAGGCTGCACACGAGAGCAATTAGCAAAGAGATGCATTATTGTTTCCGGCTCAAAACGACATAACGGACAGATTATATCCACATTTACCCTCCGATTAGCAAGAGCCGTCATGGTCGGCAGAATACCATGAATACAACGCCAAACAAAATTAAGAGCTTTAGGAGGAATTTTTATTTTCCAGCTTGGTCATTGACTATTTTTTTAACCAATTGAGTCTCTCAACTTTAAATTTTTTAACCAATTTGGTCCTTCGTTTGTTTGACCGTTAGTCAACGGTTAACTTGTGACCAAATTGGTTATTATAATAATTTGAATAATATAATTATAATGGTATATATATATATATATATATATAGACTTCGAATCCGTTGCACCCCCTCTAATAGATGAGACCATGAGGCCTCCTAATATCCATTGATTCAATTTCCATCAATTGTTGAGATTATAAGAAATTAGGGTAGTAATTAAGGACATTTACCAATGTAAAGGTTATATTAGTAATTGTAATTCTAATTTATTTATGGACATAATATTATTGGAATGTGAAACATTATTTTAGGGATTTGTGGACGGAAATTAATAGTTTCAATTATTACAAAGCTTGAAGAAGTGAACGTGGCGTGGACAATGCTAAAGGAGAAAATGAAGCGGTGGGAGGGCAGGAACAACACTGGAGCACATTTCTCAAATGGCTAGTAGCAGTACCGGTAAGTGCATTCACATGTCAACGTCTGTGCATATACTGAAGAATGGGGTTTCCCCCCGGTGTGGGTGGGAGGGGAGGTGTGGTTGTTGGACGAAGTAGTAGTCCATTGACGTGTGTAGGGTGTTCGTGTTCAGGTGGGTGCGTACATGGTTATTTGTTTGACCGATAGGATGGCGGGATGATGGGTAGACAGCAAATAGTATGTGCGTAGACATCCCATCCATTTGTTAATTTGTAATGGATGGATGAGATTGAATGAGGAATATAATGTAAATAAGGACATATTTTAAATAGGTGGGTTTAAAAGTAATTGTATTAATGTGCTAATTTTGGTTAGAAGTAGATTGGAATCTTTGACATAATGAAAGACCACATTAGAAGTAAATTGGCATGTGCATGTTGTAGATTAAGGGGGTTTGGAATTTGTTTGTTTTTCATTTCGTATCCAAAATAATTATTATAAAGGGGTGTGCGTGTAATGATATTGTTAGTTCTTTTTGAATGAAGTAGACGGTATAGGTATTATTTGGTTGGTCTGCTATGAAACGTATTTTTTATAGACACTAGTGTGTGCGTGTATGTTGGTAGGTTTGTGCACCGTACCCGATTAAAGGGCAAAAACAGTAAAATGCACACGCCAACATTCAACTGCGCACAAACCAGTGTCAACACATCCCCGATTAAAAATATTCGCATACCGCGAGTTATAAAAAGCAAAACATTATATCCCTAAGATAAAATTAATCTTGAAAATCGATTAAAACTCATGCTCACTGTAAGCACCAAAGATCCCTAATCAAACTCAAAAAACATAAACAATACTATACCATCGACACACCAAAATCACATGTGACAGTACAATGCACAAACTAATGGTATTCTAAGCACAAACCATAAAACTAGTCACATGCACACGCCAATACAGAACTGTGCACCCACTATTTGGTCCTACAAGGGGGTTCGGAATTGGTTTGTCCTCCATTTTGTATCCGCAATTATTATTATGTGTGTGCGTGAAATGATATTGTTAGTTCATTAAGATTGAATTAGACCCGTATGGGTATTTATTTGGTTGATTTACTATGCCACGGGTTTTTTTAATACATGTTGGTGTGTGCGAGTATGTGTGAAGGTGTGTGCGTGTATGTGGTATGTGCGTGTATGTGGGTATGCTTAAGTGACTATTTTGTAGTACAATTATCAGTGAGGTCCACTTTTAATTTGGGTCGAGTAAAAGTGGATTCGGGTTCTTCGTAGTTCGACAATGAGATTGATATATTGTACCCTCGAAACGGATAATGGGTAAGCTTGATTCTATTAAAGGCTTATTGAATGTATAGCATAGAGGCTCTCTTCTAACCTTGAGCTTGGTTCATTATCACCAACAAGATACCCCAAATATCCTGCAATTACCACAATTATCGACCTTTCCATCCATAGACCAGTAGCGATCAACCACGGCAAAGACGGCCATCCATTCTCGCCGGTAAAACGCAAAGACCACATGAATACCACCGGACAGCAATTTCCGCCGGAAAACATAAGTAAACTGCTTCGAAAATCACCAGAAAAACACCATAGACTTCAAGCAACAAACAGAACCATGCCGAAGCTTTCCACCACCCATACACAGCCGGAAAACACGCCGAACACATCCCATTCGCCGGTCAAAACTCAAAAAACTTCCAACGAGCGAGATCCTTCCCGGAGCATCACATCCAGTCGTCGATCTCGCGAATACTCCTCTAGTCTCCATGAAACATGGGGAGCCATAGAATAAATCGCATGGCCGAACCCAAGCTTCTAAGCAGCCGGAAATGGGCATCCCCTGCCCATAAAGCTTCGGAGAAATCATCCCAAACATCACCGGACGTCAGACTACCAGGCACGACCATCGGACGCTTAGAGTGGTGAAGCCGTCGTCGAAAGGTGGCGTTCAGGTTAACTGGAAAACACGGTCAAACAGCTTTGTCTCTTACGTAAAAGCCAAGGGGAAAACGACAAAAACACAAGCAAGTCACTGGAGATCTTTGTCATTTACGTAAACGCCAAGGGGAAAAAGACTAAAACAAGAACAGTACTGTAGCATTGATCGGAGAATCAAGTGCCAAGAGCCCAGAAAACGACAAACCAGTAGTCTCATAAATCATTGTGGAATTCAAAAACAATAAAATCTGTTATTTTAATCGGACAAAATTTGTTTTAATCCACTAGGCAAGAACGAATGAATTCCAGTTCATAAACAAAGAACAAATCTCTAGCTTACTGGAAGAAAACGCCCGAGAAAACCGACATTGGCACTCTAAAGAGAAGTCAGAGAGAAATTCTCTAGAAAGAGAAATACTCCAGTCAACACTGAGACCTGCCCCAATTTCGTGCTCCGGTTCTCTGGTGGACATGGGGAATTATCAATTTTCATTCTCGTGGAATTTTGTATCTTGTTCTCCAACCCTTCTTGTTCTCAATCGTTATGCTATGGACCGTGTCCAGCATGCATACTGGATACAGGTAACAGTCCAATTTTTTTTTTTTTTTTTTTTTTTTTAAATTTCAGACCGTTACGTTATAGGAGTATATGTTCATAATTTTATTATTATATGTTCATATATAATTGTAAGTTCATAATGTCAGAGCTCTATGTTCATAATTCCATAACTGTACATTCATACTTCCATAACTGTAAATTCATAATTCTGTAACTATACATTCATAATTCAATAACTGTAACTTCATAATTTTCGAAGCTCTATGTTCACAATTTTAGAGCACTATGTTCACAATTTTAGAGCTCTATGTTCATAATTTTATCACTATATGTTCATATTGTAAGTTCATAATGTCAGAGCTCTGTGTTCATAATTCCATAACTGTACATTCATAATTGCATACCTGTACATTCATAATTGCATAACTGTACATTCATAATTTCGTAACTGTACATTCATAATTCAATAACTGTAAAATCATAATTTTCGAAGCTCGATGTTCACAATTTTAGAGCTCTATGTTCATAATTTTATCACTATATGTTCATAATTGTAAGTTCATAATGTCAGAGCTCTGTGTTCATAATTTTATAACTTACATTCATAATTCCATAACTGTACATTCATAATGACACAACGAATAACGCCGTTAACGCCGAGACAAAATCAAATTTTTTTTTTTAAATTGGAATGACACGTTTTTCCTAAAAACGACATCGTTTTAGACTCGTGTCCACAATGCATTGTGGATACGGATCCAGGGCATAATTTGCGTCTTGTTCTATGGTGGGCCAAGTGGGCATGTGGAATTGCCCACCTTCTTTTCCTCGTGGGACGAAAATTTAAAGCCTCATTGTTTAGAGTAATATATTAGATTTATTTGCACATTTGGTCCAACGACTATGGTATCATTAACGATTTTGATCCACAACTTTCAGAACTTGCTTAATTGGTCCACAATTGTTATTTCCTTAGCAAATTTGGTACTTCAGATTTTGCGATTTCACTTCTTCTTTGTGCAAGTTTCTTCAACACTCATAAATTATAAATTTGCGTGCATGAATTTATGAATGTGCAGTTATGAAATTTTCTTTTATGAGATTATAAATTTTCTGTTATGAAATTATGAATTTTCTGTTATGAGATTATGAACTTTCTGTTATGAGATTATGAATTTACAGAAAATTCATAATTACATAACAAAATTCATAATCTCATAACAGAAAATTCATAATTTAATAAATGTTTTTCTTTTATGAAATTATGAATTTTCTATTATGAGATTATGAATTTTTTGTTATGAGATTATGAATTTACATAAAATTCATAATTACATAAATGTAAATTCATAATCTCGTAACAGAAAATTCATAATTTAATAAATGAAAATTCATAATCTGAACATAGAATGCAAAACGCTGTTAACAGCACATGAACTAAATTTTATTTTATTTTTTTTGTAAAAACGACGCCGTCTTGGAACGTGTTCACAAAACATGGTGAACACGTTTCCACGACATAATTTGCGGAGATAATCTCACACAAATATTTACCTTTTAAAAATAATTAAAACTCACAAAATTAAAAGCTAGAAATTACTAGAAACTTAAAAGGTTAAAAGTGATTATGTAACATCTTATCTGAAATAAGATTATTGGAGGCCTAGCTAAATTCTTGATAAATGATAACCCGATCCGTTGAGGATAAGACAGACCAATATAGTCCAAGACATGTAAATTGTAGGAGAAAACTAATATAGTGCTTTTTCATTGGTTGGATATATAAAATACAATTTATGTAATGTATAAATAATATTTTATATTTTTAATAAGGTTCAAGGTAAAAATTTATATGAGACTATCTCATGTATTCTTGTCTGTGATTTGGGTCAGGGCAAGATGAAAATATAATACTTATAC